TCTTTTTTCCATACTACCGAAATGTGCTTTTCATTGAATGTTAAACATGTACTTCAAATACTTTGTAAAACCAAGTGGTCCTTTTATTTTCAGGGATATCAAGCCGGACAATTTGTTGCTTGACCGTAATGGGCACATTAAGCTCTCAGATTTTGGGTTGTGTAAGCCCTTGGACTGCAGCAAATTTCCAGATCTGAAGGAAGAAGATGATGGAGTTGGCGGGAACTTTAATTGTTCATTAGAGAGTGATAAGCGTTCTAACCTTCCACCTGTGCCAAGGCGAACACAGCAGGAGCAGTTATTACACTGGCAAAAGAACAGGAGAATGTTGGTATGCTCTGTATCTATATTTTGTTCATCTTTCCAGATTATTACATTCGGGTTGTCTGGATGTCAGAAGATTACCATCTAGATATTAGACATTTTTATTTTTAAATAGTGCCTTGTAGAATCAATTAACTATACGTATTTGGTTGCCAAGTTGGCATACTGGGCTTTATTAGCCTTGATTTTCAATTGGCTTATTATCTGCAACGGCAGCAGCCTTGTATTGTCTCAATGTTTCTATAATACTTTTCCGGCTTCAGCTTAGTGTTCATATCAATCTTAAGCATTATCAGATCTGAAATCACAAATTTAAAATTTGGTACTAAGTTTTTTGAAGTTATTTCTTTTTTTCATTTACATTCAAAATGGGTTTCCTGTCTGCATGGATGTTCGCTTGTCTTTATTTTGGGGTCATGTAGATATTCTGCATGTTGTTTAACTGCCAAAACCATTCTTTTAAAAGCAATTTGTTCTCAAAATGTTAAGAAATATTAGCAGTTGATGTTCAGATGTCATGGTTCAGTTAGGTTATTGTCAATCTTTACACACCGCCTTTAAGTTGACTCTCTTTAGTATGGTAATTCTGTCAAAATGCCATGCAGGCTTATTCTACAGTGGGTACTCCTGACTACATTGCTCCAGAGGTATTACTGAAGAGAGGATATGGAATGGAGTGTGATTGGTTTGTTACTTTCCTTAGATATTACATCCTTTCAATCTTCTGTTTTACTTTTCAATGAATGTAAATTCACTTCAACTCATGCTTATTTTGATAATCTGGAAGTTGTTTCATTTAGTGGTCTCTTGGAGCAATTATGTTTGAGATGCTTGTGGATATCCACCCTTCTATTCTGATGACATGCTACATGTAGAAGGTATGTCAGCTCACTGTCTG